TATATGCAAGTTTTTACCATTAGCTGTGTTCGAAACACTTAGGCCACCACCTCCAAGACCTCCAAACATGGCCAGCAATGAATCCAATCCTGCATTGTTGGGGGCACCAGCACCAGTGCCAGCCTGGCCTTGTCCCCTGCAAGGTCAGGGTGATGAAGTCAGGAAAATGCTAAAATTGACCAAAGGAAACTAGCAAAAAATGCAACAAGAATCTCCCACGAATAAATCAAAAAAGCAACCATATGATTTGTTTAGTCGTTTGGTATTCCATAAAGTCCATGAAACTTATTCAGCTGAATGCCAAAGAGCTAAAACCAAAATGGGTCTACCAAGAGGGACACAACCACCACCACTGTCATCATCATTATCAAACAAGTAAAAACCAATACTTTGGCTAAGATCTTTTGAAAACTGGAAATACAGATACTTCTTTAAGATTAACGCAACCATTCGCGGATTCTTCCCAAAAATTCAGATCCAAGGTTCGCAAATATAAGGGGTCCAATATCATAGATTTTGCTTCAACCCCCAGATAGGAGTGCTGGGAACATTTCAATCCAAAAGACTGAAACATCTTAGAAGAGCAAAAGCAGAAGATGAAGATATTAACCAAAACAATTGTCAGCAGAAGACAATAAACTTAATTAACAAAAATAATTAGACAAGAAGAGCATAAAACATGAATAATTAACAACCAGAAAAAATAACTTCAGATTCCTGTTCTAACCAATATGATGGCTTCCAATCAGAAGATAGTAAATTATCAAATGATCGGCCTAATACAAACTACGAATTCTACAACTTACTGGCCGGTTGATTGCCTGCCAATCTGAGACATGAGTGCTTGCTGCAATGACAGCATTTGCTGCACAAAAACAAAAATGACATCAGCAATTAAAAAACAATTTTCTAATTGAAAATAAAATAAAATAAAATAAAATAAAAAATAAAAACTTAAATCACTATGTAAACAATATATAGAACAGAATGAGTTCGTGGTAAGTGCAAATGAAATCATATAAAATAAACCTGCATTGTCTCTGGGGAAGTCATTTGACGCATAAATTCCGGGTTCTGCATCATTTGTCTTAGAGGAGAATCATTTTGGAGATTGGCACCCAGAATCTGGTAATAACATGAAACAACATCAGTATCACAGATATCCGTTACATGCCCATAAAAACCATCAGCTCAATACAGAAGATATGGTTCTCTATTTATTACCTGGTTCATATACTGGGGGTTAGAGAGGAGGCTTTGCATTATCTGCGTCATTGCTGGGTTTTGCATCATCTGATTCAATAAAGAGGAATCCTGCAAGCCCCCAGCCATCAAATCTGGAAGACCAAGCCCTCCCAGCCCACCTGTGCCAGGAGCCCTTGCATCACCTCCAGGGCTTGTCCGTGCAGCTGTGCCATTAGTCTGGGCACCTGTGGCTGGTAAATAGCTCAAACATCAATAAAGACAAATGCAACAACCAGGAATTCATCACCACAACCATCTTTCAAAGACTCAAATTTCACTATATCTTGCTTAAATACATAACATGCATTACCAGAAATATCCCCAGGAAATGTCATACTGGACCATGATATGAAATTATGGATGGAGATGGAGTGACAGAATGGCCTAACATTGGCAATATGTCAAAACTTTTTTGTGGATTCCACTGTCTCCATTAATGTCCATCATTTCATCAGAATCTCATGCCCCAATGTATGGACTGTTATATTCAATGGTTTATTGGACCACAGGATACTTCTACAACATCCCTATCATCATAATGCACATCCCCGCTGGAAGTGCGCAAATCAACCAATTTCAGAAAATTTCTTCTTTTTTAAAAAAAAAAAGGCGTTCCACAATCTAGCCAAAGTTCCAACTATCAACCATTCTAAGCAACAAACATACACTGTAATCCAAAACATAAAAATATAATTCAACATAGAAAGGAAAACCAGTCCCTTCTGGCCATTGCTGTCCAATTAAATGATGGGTTAAGTGGACCCACCAAAACAGGAGATGATACCCATAATGAGTCTCAATCTCTCTCCATCGCTTCCATTTTCATTGGACGGTAATGAACCCAATGGACAATCATTTCTACTGTATCTTTTCCTAACTTTGTAACAAAATCCGTGAAGCTTCAGTTTTAAATAAGGGGAAGCATCCTGTAGAAAAAAAATTTGATTATGTCATCCTGTAGAAAATTGCCCCCAGGTTAGGTGTAGAAAGCTCCATAACTGTTGGATCCTACAGATACCCAGGTGCATTGGAGATTACTAATTGAATCCCTATCCACCATTTCAAGTTTGGACATAGTGAACTTCCTCTCCATTAACACAGGTAGGCAATTTTTAACACAAAATCCCCAACAAACACCCTTCCCTCCCCCACCCCCACTCCCACCCACCCCCCCACCCAAAAAAAAAGAAAAAAAAGAGATGCATGAAGCCACTGCTAAAAGTTCTAGAGGAAGTTTAGATTACAACCATTGCTCCATGGGTTCGGTAGCGGATTCGTGTTCGGAACTGGGGATCCTGTTGTCGCTTCTGAACCAGTAGTTGAGGGATTATGTGAACGATCCCTAGGCTGCCCAGCACCTTGGTTCCCCAACAAAGCGGCAAATGGGTTTGACCCCAAGTCATTTCCTCCATCCCCTGCCATAGTGGTAGCATTGAGGAACGGTTCTTGCACAGTCTCATACATACGCCTGAGCATATTAAACCCTTCTGGTGATGACTCGATATTGCTCATAGCCCTATCTGTGTTTCTCATCATCTCACGCATAAGCTCAGGGTTCCTAGCTGCTTCAAGGGTCTGGCGTAGAGTGCTTGGGTCATTAAGTATATGAGCAAGGTCGGGGTTCCTATCAATTATCTCTCGCATCTGAGGATTGCTCATGATCAAGTTACGCATTAGATCAGGATTGTTCATGAGGTTTTGAATAACTGGTATGTTCATTATCTCCCTCATCATGTTGGGGTTTTGTGTGAGTTGCTGTTGAGCCTGTTCGAATTCGGGGAGTCCAACACCAAATAAATTAGCACCTCCATTTCCACCAGGCCCATTGATGCCAAGACTAGGCAAGTGAAGACCTCCAAGGCCAGCACCTCCTGAAGCTCCACCCTCAAGAAAAGCAAGCCCCCTAACTGGTGCGTTACTCGGGACATTGGATGAAGGTGTTGTATTAGCTGCTGAAGCTGGTGCAGCGCCACGAACCAGATGAACAGTATGGTCTGCCTGCAACCCTGTTACCCCAAAAATAGAAAAGGCAAAGTCAGGAGAGAAAGAGTAGAGATATTCATAGAAAGTATAAGAATGTAGATTGAAGTGTTGGGCTCATGCAACTATGAATACAACAAATTTCACCCCTAATTGGTTCCGCTTAATCCTGTGCTTGTATAAGACAAAAAAAGGAACTATATAGAAAGGCAGAAGTCCGAATGCCAAACAAGGAAATATATAGATAAGCACAATTCACATGGTAAAAGGAGACAGTTGAGAGATCTCTCTACAATATAAACATTATCATAACTAATCTCACAGCTCAGAAAAGATTCTTCGGGCAAGGATATGTAAAAAACAGAAGATCACGAGATTACAGATGGACAAAACAAATAAGAAAATAAATACAAAAAATACATGAATTATCCCAAGAGGACAATTTACAAGTAGGCTGCCACGCCACCATTTATTTGAGAATGTGAGTCCTTTTCCAATTAATATTTTGTTGAACAGGGAGATGTTATGAGTGGTGCAATAGATAGGCTATACTACGATCATGGGAAGGACTCACACACACTCAGTTCCAAATTGGAGACCACCACATCCCAGACCAGGTCATGTCCATTTCATCGATTTGCCTTCTTTTATGTAAATAACACATGCTGACATGAGAGCTCAACATACTAAATCATCATCAAAACAAATGCATTGAGACAAATACCTCCTTAACTTTCTTCAACTCATTGCCGATTAACCCCCAAACCCCAGCCAAATGCAAGTAGTTACAGCAGTGCTCAAAGGTAAGCTTATAACCTTTGAAGGGCACCTCTAATGCCACCTGGACCATTCAGTGCAAAGCTTCAATTCCCCTTGTAATTATTCGTTCACTCGTGAGGTCCTGTATCTCATTCCCTTAAATTCCTCTTAAACCAATGCCCAATAGGCATTCCTTTAAATTCCTCTCGAACTAATGCCCAATAGGCATGTTATTTTTATCTTAATCCACTATACATATTGCTCTTGAAAGCTAACTGCATCAAAGGCTACTATTTCTGTCCTTATTCCCTACAAATGATTGCTAAGATGCAACAAAAATGCCGGTTCCTCCCCACAAATATTGCCAGGAAATCATCTACTATCTCTACTGCATCCAGATGATGAGAAAGAAACCCAGGAATTGCACCCCAACTCCTTCAACAAACTTAAAAAGAGGGAGGGTGAGGGGAGGTGTTTGGGAAGCACTCCATGCTATCTTCCACCTCCATGCACATTACAGAAAAGCTTTAAAACTGGATGTCCCTTTTCTCAAGATAATTACTACGAAGAGTTCAACTTTGACATCTTAACAACTAAAAAACCACAACCCTGGAGACAGGATGCACCAGTCACACCCATTAAAATAGGCAATCACCATCACCCATCCACATGTTTTGTCCACGTCAAAAACATCACTTCAAATTTATGTTGGGTTGGATTTTAATGTTCCTTGCAACCTTAGGAAATAATGGGATAGCGACACCCACTAAAATTGGTGAACAGAACCACCTAGAATAGCAGCATCCTCCAGTTCTTGTCCATGTCAAAGAGCAAAGAGCAAATGATGTTTTTTTTTGCAATAGGCGGTATCTTTTAAAGATAGAAGGAAAGATTGATTCACAAAAAAATGGGAAGACAACACAAAATTACTCTGCACAGTAGAGGATTACCATGAAACATGAAGTTTCAAAAAGTAACGTTGGTACAGCCTTCTAATTGTATTTGAAGTTGGACCCATATAAGTACGTAGCAGCTCCCCCCAACCCCAACCAAAAAAAAAGAATTTAATTAAAAATTTTGTTACAAAATTAAGTTCATTAAATACATTCCAACTGGCACCTTAACAGGCAATACGTTCCAATCAGACCTCAAAGCAAAAACCCTGACCTTGCAATAGCGCAAAACTTATTTATTGATACTAAAGTTACGTCTTAGACATATGAAAATCCCAATGTCCCTAACCACCACAGCTAACATCTCACATTCCAGTTAAGTCCATTCATTGTTTCACGACTCTCCATGTCCAACGTGGACTGAGTAAAGCCTTGAGAGCAGCCAAGTGCCACCAGTTTCCAGAGTTTCTTAGTCATTTTTTAAAGACTCGGTGGAATCCAGCTTGGAGACATGGATCCCCCAGCCCTGGACAGTCCAGACCTTAGTCCCAGATAAAAACACTAAATCCATTAAGTACCTATCCATATCCAACTCCCTTCATTACTTTTCTACATCTAAGGACTTCAAAATAATCTGTCGAAAAGTTCAATGCCTGAAGTCCTGGTGCTCATGCATGCAGAAACTAGCCAAATTAGCATGTGAATCACATAACAATATGCACCAGACCAAGAAACAACTTCAGCATTTATGTCTACAAATGGATAACTACTGAACTGTTAAATGAGCAGATCCAACTTTTTTTAAGACTATCAATACTGCTACTTGCGGCCTTGCATTTTTCTGTTGCCAGTGTAATAGAATATCCGTCAATCCACATATTGAAATAAGAAGAACTAAACCCAATATCTTTAATGTGAGGGGCATAGATTCTTCGCATTAAGTGAACAAACTTGATGTAGGAAGGAAAGGTGAGAAATTGAATCCACCCTTTTCCTGAACCTTAAACAAGTCAAATCAGCAATAATGGAAAAAGAACATCACTATAAATCAAGCCAAGAGAAGAAAACTTTATTTTTTCATAAAATAAAATTCGTTCTCCTAACATATGCCTCCTAAAGTATGACATCTTGCCTCCTAAAATATGACATCCTGCCTCCTAAAATATGACATCCAATATTTTATAAGCCTATGAAACCCTAATTTAACTTAGATCCAAGTAAATATTTAAGACTCTAAAATACCCCTAAAACAATAATAAAATTCCAAAAAAAATACCCCTGTGAATAGTAACAGGTGAACAGTAACTGTCAACAATACTGTGAACAGTACTCATGAGTAGCAAATAAAAATATATATAAGAAAACCCTAGAATCCCCAAAAAAACTTAAAATCCTAAAACTAAAATCAAAATATACATCCATAAAAATTAACTAGAATAAAAAAAATAAGTATAATTTTTCCGTCCATCAAACCTCCTAAAACATAAATACTTGTTCTGAATAAAAAGACATGAATACAATTATAGTGTAAATGTTATATTGTAAAACCATATAGTGTAAATGTTATATTGTAAAACCATCATTGACTATGTGACTTTCTCAACACCCCCTAGTATAGTAACGAGTTATATTAATTGAATTTTTTCAGAACTTTTCATTACCTTTCATTAGTACTACTGATTAGACAAATCTTGAATGATGAGATTAACATATTCATTAGGTAGGAGGAGATCACATAGCCAGGATATAGTGCAAAAGGAAAATAACAATGACTACATTTGTTTTATTTTATCTAAGCAGCCACTTAGTAAAACAAGGGGCATAAGGCAGCCCATTCAACCAGAATCGTTACATCATCCGTTCCTTGTTGATAAAACTTTAGAAACCATATGCACAGGCCAACATTCAAAATATCCAGCCTAAGGGTGAGTTTTAATGGCAAGCATCAACACTCAACCTCACCCTTCTCCACCTAAAGGCATTTTTTAAACCCTCCACTTATAAGCACCATCCCTAGTCAACCTTTTCGTTACCACCACCATTTGTCCACTCTATTGGCAATTCTGTCTGCCTAGCTTGCAATCCATTGTCATCATCTTACCTTTTGCTACACGACAAAATTCTCTCCGGCCACGACCGATGGCAGACTAAACCACCAGATGTTTATGAGTAGCATCCCATTGAACATAACTATCCTTGTCAACTTTGCCCATCACTCTGCAACTGTACCTTTTGCAGTAGTCAGAGGTGGCCTACATCATTATCCAAAAAAATCAATCACATTATCATCAACATCATCATCATCATCACCTTAAAAGCCTTTTCCCAACCAAATGTGTTGGCTAATTTCTTGAGTTTCAACTCATTTGTTGACATGTTAGTGAACCGAGAAGCATAGATAACTAGACGCAAATAGATATTCTTCTATTCCAGTGTTGACTTCCAAAAAGAAAAACAAAGAAACTGTGATGCACCGACTGCTCTAGATCTAGTCTAATATTGATATTTCTCTTAACTGTTATCATCATTAATGTCTGTATGAACATAAAGCTCTAAGTCCACATGTAGAGAGTAACATAAGTTTTAAGGGCCAACTCCAAGCCCTCATGTCATGACCATAAAGCTCCTGAATCACTGCACTTTATCTTAGTGAAACTCCATGCAGGTCAACTCAGACTTCTGCAAGAGCAAAGTCATTGATGCAAAACAAAAGGTGATCCATATGTTTTTTAATGCAAAAATATATTCAAGAGACTAATTCATTCAACATACAAACAATTTTCATATGCCTAAAATTCATCCACCTAATATTAAAAAAGAGAATCCAAGGAGCATGCTTAGACTGCCAACTCTTGTTTACTTGAAGTACTCATTCATTGGACCCCAACTTGACAATTGACAAAATATATGAATCTCAGCCTCACGTAAAATTAACCACCTGGTTGACATGGGTTACCACATGTTCCTTTATCCTATTATGCCTATAAAAAACAAGAGAGCATATTTAAGGTGCAAAATATTTTAGCCATATCAATTTACATGTAAGCCATGCGCATTCAAACAATTGAATTGGTGCAACTCTTTTTTTCGCTAGTGTAAACTGGGTCTGAAATCACAACCTCAAGGCACCACAAGGTATTTCGGTAGTGAAACAAACAGGGGATAACTCGATCATAGACTGATTCTGTATTTGAATGATTAAAACTTATACATCTCACTAAACATGTAGCTTGTTAGAATGTATAAATGCTTTACATATTATTTTACATGTTACCGAACAAATGATTAAATTGACTTTTGAAGTAACTGACTATTGGCCCACGAAATTAATTCAAGGGATCTTTCCCCGATTCATAAACCAAAACCAAAACAATATAGTTTCTGATGAAGCCAATGGAAAATAAAGGCGTTATAAATATTCCTTACATGTCAAGTACCACCCTCACTTTACTATGCTTGTAGCTAAGTAAAGCACATTTTTTTAGTGAAAGCAGAGGTGTAGCTTAAGGGCTTCTTAGGACGGCTTGTCCCGTGCTTACAATATACATATCTGCCGGTCTACAGTCTAGAACAATGAACTATATTGTAGCTAAAGGCAACCACCTAGGATGCTTTTTGTGGATGTGGGCACGTACATGTACAAGCGCGTTCAACTCTGTTTGTTCTTGTGTACCTCGCCTGTTGTGTTGTGTTGTGCTGTGTGTGTGTGTTACCACTCACTGTTCAACCGTTCTCACACTATTGAAAGTTGAAACAGTTATTGCTCTCTCGAATTTTTTTTTTCTTGTTTTCGGGGGAGGGATGCGCACATGTGTTGAGCTCTGTTTGTGTGCTTGTGTGAATGAGAGATACAGATTATGTTGTGTACGGGGTCTGTCTTCTTTGTTGTGTGTGTGTGTGTTCCCTCTCACTCTTCAATCTTTCTCACTCTATTGAAAGTTGAAAGTGTTAGAGTCTTGAATTTTTTTTTTTCTTTTTTTTTTTTGGGGGGGCGGGGGGGAGGGGGGGGGGGGTAGGGGGCAGTTGTTTGAGGCTCTCTCTCTCTCTCTCTCTCTCTCTCTCTCTCTCTACTACTATACTAACTAAACTAAACTAATTAAGTAAGTAAAAGTAAACTAATAACGTAACTAAGTAATAAGTAACGTAACGTAACG